ATAACTCTGTCTCTGTGTGTCCTTATAACTCTGTCTCTGTGTGTCCTTATAACTCTGTCTCTGTGTGTCCTTATAACTCTGTCTCTGTGTGTCCTTATAACTCTGTCTGTGTGTGTCCTTACAACTCTGTGTGTCCTTATAACTCTGTCTGTGTGTCCTTGTGACTCTGTCTCTGTGTGTCCTTACAACTCTGTGTGTCCTTGTGACTCTGTCTCTGTGTGTCCTTATGACTCTGTCTGTGTGTGTCCTTATAAGTCTGTCTCTGTGTGTCCTTGTGACTCTGTCTCTGTGTGTCCTTATAACTCTGTCTCTGTGTGTCCTTATAACTCTGTCTCTGTGTGTCCTTATGACTCTGTCTCTGTGTGTCCTTATGACTCTGTCTCTGTGTGTCCTTATGACTCTGTCTCTGTGTCCTTATGACTGACTTAGAGAGAACCCCTAACCCTAACCCTGACGAGAGAATCGCCACCTGACTAGCCGCGGCTTCCCTCCCACGTCACTCGCTGAGCTACACGTTTTGTTACTTGCTCACGCCCCCCATTGCCCCAAAAAAGGTACATTCTGTATAAACAAAAGTAGGTAGGCAGCATTTTGCTGCACTCCCCGATTTTGTTTTTATACTGCCAATGCTGAAAAAAGACTGATTGGGCTTTCCTGCAAATTTGCACAATTCCTGTCTAAAAAGGACTTGTGTGTCCTTATAACTCTGTCTCTGTGATGACCAGCGTCACCTTAAACCTGAAACTGAGGACAGTTTGTAATGTGAGGACATTTCTGTAAAGCAGGGACACTTTAAAAAAGGCTTGTAATGTAAGGACATTTTAGAAAATCAAAAACAGGATTTCACTGTGGTGTGAGGACATTTTGTAACGTGAGGACATTTTTAACATGTAAGGAGAACTTTTTTGAGTGAAGATGTTTTAAGAAACTGAGGATGATTTTGTGATATGAGGACCTTTCTCAGAATGTTTGGACATTATTGTAGGATGGGGACATTTCTGAAAGTGAGGACGTTTTAGAGAGCAAGGATATTTTTAGAAATGTTTTTTGTGAAATGACATTTTGAAAAAGTTTTTTAGAAAATGAGTGTTTTTGTGAAGTAAGGATGTTTTTTTGAAACTGACAACATTTTTTGGAAGATAGTGACCAGAAAGTGACGCCGTTTCTTGGAACTGAGGACATTGTTTAGAAAATGAGGACAGTTTTTAGAAAGTGCGAACGTTTTTGTAAAGAATGGACATTTTTAGAAAATTATGTTGTTTTTTTTTCATAAAGTGAGGACGCTTTTAGAAACAGCGTGTTTTTTTTTGGAAGATGAGGACATTCTATAAAGTGAGGACGTTTTATAAAGTGAGGACATTTTTGTCAGTTGATTTTTTTTTTTTTTACTATCTTGAATTTCTTTCGGACAGCCTGGAATATTTTTGGAAAGCTTCTCTTTGATTTCTGGTCTACTATTTATTTATTGTTATTTATTGTTTGTGTCCACTCTTTATTTCAGCTGTGTGTTTTAAATCTCAGTCACAGACTCACTCAGTGATGTTTGTTTGTGTTTTCAGACAGTGTGTGACATCACAAGGTCGTCATCATCAGCAGCTCCGTGTCCGTCGGTTTTCTTCTTCTCCTTCTCTGTAGCTTAAATCTAAACCTTATCATCGTTGTCTGTTTGGACTGAACATGTTCCCACAGCACCGCACACACTAAACGACACACCAACACAGTGACCTGGTTGGAGGTCGTCCAATCCCATCATGCACCTGAACACACACACACACACAGACACACACGCACACACACACACGGTTAATGAATCCTATTAATGAGCGGCCGTTTGTCTCTGTTTCAGGATTCCTGTCGGGATTAACACACACGCCTCCACCTGCCACCACATTCTCCTTTGGTTCTCCGTCCTGTTTCTTTGTTCTTCGTCTTTTTTTGGTCTCACACGTTTGATTTTACACAAACTGAAACCAGCTGCTGTGACCTCTGACCTCCTTTGGACTGAAGGTCTGTTGTTGTTTGGTGGTTTCCTTCAGAAATGAAGAAGTAGAAGACGTGTGATGAGTCCTGGACACTCCAGCAGAGGTTTATTCATGGATGTCAGTCATTTAACAAACCTCGTCTGAAAACAGGATCCACAGTCTGAAGAAGAAGAAGAAGAAGAAAGAGGAGAAACAGACTGAAAAGAAAAACCCAAATACTTTATAATAAAAAGGAGAAAGTAATCAGTAAACAACAGAAGAATGAGAAACAGAGGAAAGAGAATAATGGAGTGATGGAATAAACGACTGGAATCATTCACTTCATCTGGACAACACAAACACACCTGCAAATCTGCAGCAGGTATGTTCAACAAACAACAACAAACATGTAAACAATGATGTTTATACACCGAAACCAACAGGTAAACATCATCTATCCAAAAACACAAGGGGAAAAATGTAAGATGCTAAGGTTAGCATGTGTAGCTGACTGGCTTTCACATTGGTTAGTTAGCATGTCGTTAGCTAACTTTTATTTTGCAGGGTTTGCCTACATAAAAAACATCCAGATTCACAAAAAGATCTCAAAATAAATCTATCCAGAAAATAAAAACACAAGGGTTAATGTAAAATGCTAGTGTTAGCATGTCAAGCTAAATGACTTTTTTTTTAGTTCAAAGACTGAGCTCGCATAATATTAGCTAACAGTTAACTTCATCCTGAAATAGTTTTCTTTCTAAAAGTAGAAGAAAAAAGTTCATGTAAACTTTTATTTATCTAAGCCTCAGATGAGAGAACAAATTTGATGTTTGATCTTTCTTAAAAATGCTACGACAAAATTTCTTTCTGTTCTCCCCATCAGCTGGTGAGACTGGTTTTATTTAAAGACCCGTTAGCTTTAGCCTCCCTCCGTTAGCATGACAGCACATATTCATCCTTGTGAATATTTAAAGCCTCAGTGTGTAAAAATGGTGAGTAACAGTGACAACAGCGGTCAAATTCTAGATTGCAGGGCTCACTCGCGCTCACTCGCTCACCCCTCCCGTCGGGTAAGTGACGGTGGCCTCGTTGAACAGAAAGCCTTGCGCAGACAGAGATGACATCATCCATGAGTTTTTCAAGTTTTTCAGGAGTAGGCCTATCTAGCGATGAGGTGAATATTTATTTAGGAATCTAAACCATGTTATGATATTGTAGCGACCCTGCAGTAAATGTTCTGTTATAATGTCAATGTTCTGTGAGTTAATGGCATGTTTGGGATTGAATGAGTATAGGTAGGGGGTTGGGGTGCGAGTGTGACTGGTATGAGTGCTGTGTGAGTGTGCGTGCTGGTGTGTGTATGAGCGAGCTGGAGGAGAGAGCAGGAGTGCACAGTTGGAGCTACAGCTAAGTTCTTGTTTGTTGGTTGTTTTGGTGTAGTTACAGCCAACAGTAACCTGTACTGTTCAGTAATAAACTCTGATTTGCTGAATAACTGTGTCATACTTTCCACACGTCCTGGCAGGCGCTACAGTATGTTATAGCTTACCAGTGACATATAGGTTATCTGTGAGATATAACGTTATGTTAGGAGTGTTTTATTTCTAATTGTTTTGGTAACACGAGCAAACATTAGCACAGTAATGCTAAAATAACACGTTTTATGTGATAGTCACGGCACAGTGCGGCAAATATAGGTTGGTACGATTATGCGTCTCCAGAGTGTTCTTCCACAGGAGTTTTTTCCACCTGGAATAAGCAACGCCGATATTCACTCGCGTTTTGTCCTCGCTTATCTGATCTTTTTCTTTTATTTGGTGGCGTGGTTTTCCTCTTACGGGGCAAAACATGTGTGTGGTCCTCCATTGAAAGTGCGACAGAATCATAGTAATAGTAATAATAATTATAATAATAAGTTTTATTTTGCGCTTTTCTAAATACTCAAAGATGCTTTACAAAGAATAAGCACAGAAACAGGCACTCAAAACAAAACACTCAAACAAAGGACACTCAAACAAAACACTTAAAAGAGAAAGAGTGGGCGGAGGATGACGAGGGAGGATTTTTAGGTGCAGTAGGTGGTCCTGACGAGATGGGATTTAAGCTGACTCTTGAATGAGGGGAGTGTATCAGAGTTCCTGATGGCCAGGGGCAGGGAGTTCCAGAGGGTAGGGTCGGCGATGGCAAATGCTCTGTCCCCCAGGGTGCAGTACTTGGTTTTGGTGATGGGGGTGAGAAGGTTGGTGGCGAGTGGGGGAATGGCGATGGAGGAGATCGGTGAGGTATGAGGGTGCACGGTTGTTTAGTGCTTTGTAGGTGGTGAGGAGGATCTTGATCATAACAGTACAAAGCAGGTTCACGCAGAAGCTCCCCGGATTGAGCTTCACCTTAACCGTCTCCAGTGACGGCAAGTTGTAGGTAAACGCGAAAGGCAAAGCGCGTATATCCCTTTCAGCCACTGTATTCAAATATGGCGACGCAAGAAGGCAGCCTCCAGCAGACCGCGCCCTGCCTGTGTATATATAGAGAAATCATTCTAAGCCTATGAGAAAGCTTCCATTTGTATGTGAATTGCATTACACTTTAGTAAATATATATTTATGAAAGCAATAGTTGATATTTGCTAATAAACAACCACGTAAATTACACATTGTAACTTTAAAACTTCTAAAATAAGTAGTCTGGTAAAAGTCGCTCTGCATCCTGATGTGGCTGAAAATCTGAAGCTTCCTTTGTGAACATCGTTCTGAAATCTGTTGTTTCATGAATTTCCCCAAATTTGATCTGGAACTTTATTTACTGTAGGGGAGCATAAGAAATGAGAGGCGGAGCTAACAGGCCTGCAGGAAGTGCTCTGGACTTTGGAGCCAGTTTGAACATTAAAACCTCAGAGAAATGATTTGTTTCACTGTTGGGATTCGATCTGTCGATGCGAAATATCTGGAAAGTCCAGAAGAACCGCACGATTAAATCATTTTGTTTCCATTCATGCTAGTGCTCGGCCAGTGGAAGTCTCGAGCACGCCCGCTCAAAGGGCTGCACAGTGTCGAAGATCTGCGTGTCTTTATACGGATTAAGTTAAACTTTTTATACCTCCAAACCAGCAATACTGCACCGGAGTGGAACTAAGAACAGTTAAAGGGAATGTTCTCAAATTTGGCACAAATGTCAACTTTGAGTCACAGATGAACTGATTAGGATTTGATGGTCAAAGTCCAAAGGTAGTTGTGACCTCACAGAACATAACTGAAGAATCAATTTGTTCATCATGTGAAGTGTTCATGTTTTCAAGCTGTCAGAGAAACCTGAGCGGTGGGTGGAGCCATACAGCCATGAGGCAGGGATTCTAGTTTGGGTTCATGCACCACTCAACAACTTTAATAGAAATTAATGAGACACTCGGGGAGGCGGGGCTTAGTCATCTGTGAAGGCAGGGCTTAGTGGTGAAGGCGGGGATTAGTGATGAGGCTGATCCAGTCGTATTGTTTACGTTTAAAATGTTGAGATATTTCTGAACGATCCAGATGAACTCAATCTCTAATAAATGATTAACGATGATTAATGAACTTCCTGGTCAGCTGTCCTCAGGTGCTGTCGGGACCCGGCAGGTAACTGTGCTGTAACCTGATTGGATTAGCCCTGAAACCTGCAGCTGACCCGGGTCAGCACCATGTGTTCAGGCCAGCTTTCCCACTGAGAGGGCTCCCTGCATTTTGGCAGAGACACAACCTGATTAACTCAACATACTAAATGTTTACAGAACAGCCTTTATCCACCTGACTTCATTTTACTGAAGCTTGTGTTTGTAACGGAGGACTTCCTGTTTCCTGTCATAGCCTGTGGAGTGATGTTTCTGTTACATACATGTAGTAGCAGTGGCGCCCTGTCACAACTCGAGTTCAGCACCAGGGGTCCAACTCCCCCGACTCCCTGCCGAATCAGAAAACTCAGGTCATGCCTGGAGGACGGTCACCATGTTTCTACAGCAACGCCATCCCACCAACATGGGTCAGATTTGCGTCCCCAGCGGTACTCAACAAATGAGCGGTGAAGATAGCTAGCTCCCATTTGGTGCGCAGTGCAGAGTGGCCAAGGCTAACGTCTAACCAGCAGTGCAGTGTGGCCAAGGCTAACGTTAGCTAACCAGCAGTGCAGAGTGGCCAAGGCTAATGTTAGCTAACCAGCAGTCTGACTCAGTGATGTCGCCTCCCCACATCCACTGTGATTGGTTTAAAGAAACAAAAACAAGCCCCGATAGCAGAAAGTCCTTTCTGTCGTGATGATACAGCACTGTGGAGTTAAATCCTACTACACGAAATAAGCTAACCAGTGGAGACCAGAGGGCAGGAACTGGGCACCATGTTTCCACGTTAACACAACCAAGCAGCAGTTTGTCAACAAAGCTAAATGCTAACATGTGTCACTGAAGTTCACAGACTGTCCCCTGGAGACCATCGAGGAGGTGGGTGAGAGGAGGATTTTAGCCAAGCTGATATCCATCATGGACAACACCTCTCACCCCCTACACAAGACTGAGCACTGAGCAGCACATTCAGCAGCAGACTGCTGCACCCACAGTGCAAGATGAAGTGCTACCGCAGGTCATTCATCCCATCAGCTGTCAGACTCTTTAACAGCAACACCTGATGTAATGTAGCACTGTCATGTCTGCTGCATAACACTTTAAATCATTGCTGCTAAGACTGTGTGCAATTTACATAATCTGTGCAATATTCCACATCTACAAATATATTGTGTATATATTGTAAATAGTCTTGTGTGTACAGTTTTTTATCTATATATTTTTTATCTATTTTTATTCTAGAAAGATATGTATGTGTGTGTGTATATATATATATACAGTACAGGCCAAAAGTTTGGACACACCTTCTCATTCAATGCGTTTTCTTTATTTTCATGACTATTTACATTGTAGATTCTCACTGAAGGCATCAAAACTATGAATGAACACATGTGGAGTTATGTACTTAACAAAAAAAGGTGAAATAACTGAAAACATGTTTTATATTCTAGTTTCTTCAAAATAGCCACCCTTTGCTCTGATTACTGCTTTGCACACTCTTGGCATTCTCTCCATGAGCTTCAAGAGGTAGTCACCTGAAATGGTTTCCACTTCACAGGTGTGCCTTATCAGGGTTAATTAGTGGAATTTCTTGCTTTATCAATGGGGTTGGGACCATCAGTTGTGTTGTGCAGAAGTCAGGTTAATACACAGCCGACAGCCCTATTGGACAACTGTTAAAATTCATATTATGGCAAGAACCAATCAGCTAACTAAAGAAAAACGAGTGGCCATCATTACTTTAAGAAATGAAGGTCAGTCAGTCCGGAAAATTGCAAAAACTTTAAATGTGTCCCCAAGTGGAGTCGCAAAAACCATCAAGCGCTACAACGAAACTGGCACACATGAGGACCGACCCAGGAAAGGAAGACCAAGAGTCACCTCTGCTTCTGAGGATAAGTTCATCCGAGTCACCAGCCTCAGAAATCGCAAGTTAACAGCAGCTCAGATCAGAGACCAGATGAATGCCACACAGAGTTCTAGCAGCAGACCCATCTCTAGAACAACTGTTAAGAGGAGACTGCGCCAATCAGGCCTTCATGGTCAAATAGCTGCTAGGAAACCACTGCTAAGGAGAGGCAACAAGCAGAAGAGATTTGTTTGGGCCAAGAAACACAAGGAATGGACATTAGACCAGTGGAAATCTGTGCTTTGGTCTGATGAGTCCAAATTTGAGATCTTTGGTTCCAACCGCCGTGTCTTTGTGAGACGCAGAAAAGGTGAACGGATGGATTCCACATGCCTGGTTCCCACTGTGAAGCATGGAGGAGGAGGTGTGATGGTGTGGGGGTGTTTTGCTGGTGACACTGTTGGGGATTTATTCAAAATTGAAGGCACACTGAACCAGCATGGCTACCACAGCATCCTGCAGCGACATGCCATCCCATCCGGTTTGCGTTTAGTTGGACGATCATTTATTTTTCAACAGGACAATGACCCCAAACACACCTCCAGGCTGTGTAAGGGCTATTTGACCAAGAAGGAGAGTGATGGAGTGCTGCGGCAGATGACCTGGCCTCCACAGTCACCGGACCTGAACCCAATCGAGATGGTTTGGGGTGAGCTGGACCGCAGAGTGAAGGCAAAGGGGCCAACAAGTGCTAAACACCTCTGGGAACTCCTTCAAGACTGTTGGAAAACCATTTCAGGTGACTACCTCTTGAAGCTCATGGAGAGAATGCCAAGAGTGTGCAAAGCAGTAATCAGAGCAAAGGGTGGCTATTTTGAAGAAACTAGAATATAAAACATGTTTTCAGTTATTTCACCTTTTTTTGTTAAGTACATAACTCCACATGTGTTCATTCATAGTTTTGATGCCTTCAGTGAGAATCTACAATGTAAATAGTCATGAAAATAAAGAAAACGCATTGAATGAGAAGGTGTGTCCAAACTTTTGGCCTGTACTGTATATATATATATATATATATTTAAATATATATATGTACACATACACACACATTAGTGTATATATGATACCATAATGTTGGAGTACTGTAGTACCACGGTACATATGATATGGTACCACTACGGTGGGATAACTTCAAAGTCCAATCGCATGAGCGTGAGTGTCCATGCGCCGTCCAATAACGGCGCGCGCTGGCCACCTGGCACTCAATATGCTTCTGCAGTGGTTTGTTTTCCAGTGACATTTCAGGTATTAGCTGAGCTATTGAGTATCTTTTATCAGTGAAAGTTATTTATTTTTTTTTTCTTGTTGGCTAGATTTGTTTATATATGCTACAGTGATTTGTTTTCCACAGAGCTCTATGGTGCGAGCATTTTACTCGCATTTGCGACTAAAAATAGTTTTGTGCGAGCAAAAGAAATCATTCAGGAGCACGCTGTGTGAGTACAGATTTCAACCAGCAGCAGAAACGAAAGGTGATTCCTGCCGGTTGTGGGTTGAACGGGGGTCACAGACAGGAATACGGCGGAGCACTATGGCCACCGCAAGATAACGCAGTTTACCGGCGACCGAGAAGCTCGGCTCCAGGTCCAATAATTTCCTCTTCGTTGGTGTTATGACTGCCCAGTAGTACCTGAACAACCGAGCCGTGGCGGCGCACAGGCATGTGACGTGTCAGAGGAGAAATGAGCCATTCACATTTCTGTCTTTGTGGCAACGGTCCACAAACCTCACCGCACTGTAGGGACTGTTCTTTACTTGTCAGGGGAGGAGGGTGGCTGGTTGATTTTTATTTCATTTATTTATTTTATTTTGATCCCCCCTATGTTAATCACTTATTGATGCTGTTTATGAAGTATGAATAAGTCAATAAGTAATTTATTCCATTGAAATATCATTGATGTATTACAGAAAAGTGATTTATCTTTTTATGAATGACAAAAGGCACATCTGCCTCATTTTCGCTGTGGTATCGTGATGCTACTCAGAACCGTGATATTTTCACTGGTATCGTACCGTGGGTCCCAGTTTCGGTACTGTGACAACACTAATATACATATACTGTATATACATATTTTCTGTTTTTTAATCTTTATATTCTTTTTTCTTAGTATACATTGTCGCCCTCCATTTTCTGTCTGTGCTTTGAGCTACTGTGACGTGAATTTCCCAAGTGTGGGATTAATAAAGTTTCTCTTGTCTTGTCTTGTCTTGTCTTGTCTCATCTCGAGTCGATGAAGCGCTGACTGAAAGGAAAAGACTTTAAAAAAAACGAACAAACATTTAATTTACATGTTATTATTTACGTGTTAATGTGTGTATCAATGAATCTGCGCAGACATCCCTGTTGATGATGTAAGAGTTAACGTTCCACCTCTGTTCTCAGAACACGTTCTAACAGTTGTTGTTGCTCCAACAATCAGAACGGAGAGGAGGCGGTCTTTACCGCTCTCATAACCATGGATGATGACGACTGCAGTGCGCTGGAGAACGGCGACTGCGAGGCGGCGCGGCAGACCAGTGACATCACCTTCAGCTCCAACATAAGCCCCACCCCCGGCCTAAGGAGGAAGCAGCTGCTGTGGCAAAATGCCGTCAGAAACGTCATTGACAAACACAACATGTACTCACTGAGGCTTGCTGGTGGCCTGGACCGAGGCAGACACCGCATCTTTGTCACCGACGCCTACATCGCTGACATCAACAGGTACAGTGCAGTGATGTCATCGACAGGCAGACAGCAGTGAGGTCACCAACAGGTAGAAACAGTGACGTCATCTTTCTTCCCTCGGTGTGGTATTACAGGCAGATCCGTAACAAGGCGTCCCGAACAGCTCTGTGGCAGAAACGGCGCTCGTCGGCTGCTCGTATCCACCCGTCCACGCCGAGGATCAACGCCGCGGCACAGACAGCGTACGACTCGCTGAGTGACTCCACCTTCTTTGTGTCATCAGGGTCAACGGTGCGGGGCGTCTTCATCCCCGCACTGCAACACACATTCAAGTAAGATACACAACCTGAAACACACCCTCACATAAAGATACACAACCTGAAACACACCCTCACATAAAGATACACAACCTGTTACACACACTCACATAAAGATACACAACCTGTAACACACAGTCATAAAGATTCACAACCTGTGAGACACACTCACATAAAGATACACAACCTGTGAGACACACTCACATAAAGATACACAACCTGTTACACACACTCACATAAAGATACACAACCTGTAACACACAGTCATAAAGATACACAACCTGTGAGACACACTCACATAAAGATACACAACCTGTAAGACACACTCACATAAAGATACACAACCTGT